TCAAATACTTTATCTATAAAGAATATTTATGGGAAAGTAAAATACTCAAATTATTTAGTTTCTCTTTTATAACTAGAAGTTGTCATTTTTGTTTCCGGTGGGACCAACATCTTTCGAATCTGCAAAGAAAATGCAATAAAGTGACGCAATTTTTGATTAAAAAAAGAAAAATTGAAATTTTCGATTTTTTTGATTACTTCCTGTGATGACCGGAAGTGACGGCTGACGCTCTGAAGCCAAATAGCTTGGGCTACATCTTAAGGTCTGTTGCTCATATAAGTCTGGTGTCTTAATCTCTTACCATATCCGAGATCTTGCTCAGACAACTTCTCATTTTGAGGACAGAAAAACATGCGACCAAAAGTGAATTTTCACAAAGATATTTGACGTTACTGTAGAAATTTGCACTCTTAATAACATATTTAAAATTCATTTCAAATACTTTATCTACAAAAGATATTAATGGGAAAGAAAAATACTCCATTTATGTTGTTTTTCTGTTATAACCGGAAGTTGACGTTTTTGTTTCCAGTGGGACTAACATATTTCGAAACTACAAAAGAGATGCAATAATGTGATGTAAGAATTGATTTAAAAAAGGAAAGCTGAAATTTTACGATTTCTTTATCACTTCCTTAAGCGACCAGACGTGCCAACCACGAACGAAAAATAGCGACCTGGCTAGTATCTATCAGGAACTATAATCCCTGAAAGTTTCATATTGATATCTCTTGTCGTTCTTGAGATTAACCGCGGTCAAAATGTCATTTTGAAATCAGAAAATGGTCTGTAACTTGGAACTGTAAGTGAATTTTCAAATTTTCTCTCTAATAGATCAAGTTTATGTCACAACACATAATTCCTAAAAATTTCATGCAAATCCATCCGATAGTCTTCGAGAAATTGCATGCACAAAATTAGAAAGTCAAAAAAATAATAATAATAACTAGAGCAAAGCTCATTGCAAAGCAACAAGTAGGTCTTCCGTCCTGTTTTGACCGAAGTGACTTCAACAAGAGAAAGGAATGAGTTTAGACGTCTCCGGTGACTTTAAAATTACAATTTTGAATCAAAACCTGCAAAATAAGCTATTTCTGGCTACTTACGGTTTGACCGGAAGTGATGTTGAGGAATGATAAATTTGGTTGGACTTTTCTGGTTACATAAATTAACCAATAACATGTCAAAAATGGCAAAAATATGCATTTTCTGACAACTTCTGTTTTGGCCTAAAGTGACTACATTTGACAACTTTCGACAACCTTATTCACTTCTACTTGTCATTTTGAACAATTTTGCTTCTTTGATGTATCACAAATTCACAAAAGTTTTTGAGATATTGAGAAAACACTTTCAGCCCCTGTAGATCCCTTCTTTTTGGGGTCAGCCCCTAATTGTTAATATCAAATGAAAGAGCTTGCCATTTTGCACAACTTTTGTTCTATATGTTTTTACAAAATATTTACAAGTAAAGAGATATTCTTGAAAAAATGCTAAAAATTTTGATATTCTCAATAAAACTAGTTTTGGAGCATACCAAGCGTCAAAGTGCGGCACTTTCTGGAAAAATGAAGTACCTTGTATAGGTATAGGTATTGCAAGGGATATAAATTCCTATATTAAATTTTGAACACCCATTCTGATTTGAAAAAAATGAAATCTTTACTAATTCAGGGAGATATTATAAGTATGTTTTCTCATTCCGGCCCACAGGTTTCTAGAGAATAATTTTTTCAAATGACCCTTTCCAATTTTTACTACTTGTATTTCTTAATTATCTTCTGTTGGAAGAGAATGTGGTCATTCATTTGATCAACAATGTTTGGTTGATATTGACCCAGTGATTCTTGAAAAGATAAGAATGAGAAAAAAATTACAAGTACCAGGTTTACAGCGACAACGTCGATTATGCTTACACCGAGGAAGCCAACATCGAAGTCAGAGAACAACAAATTATGAGCAGAAAATCTTACTTAGCCTTTGGCATGAGAGATGGGGTACTGATTAAAAATTGAAATTATTTTTATATAGTCAATTTTTTTTTACGATCGACGTTTTGACGCCATACTTGCCAACCTCCAACATGTAAAAATCTGGTCATGACCAGATTTGGAAAGTAAAAAATCTGGTCATAACGTGTAACGACATTCACGACACATTTACCATGATTAAATTATATATATATATATATATATATATATATATATATATATATATATATATATATATGTATGTATATGTATATATATATATATATGTATATATAAGCATTTGTGTATTGAGAATTATTTTATTAAAAAGAGACTTTAACTTGCAATGAGAAAAATTTAATATATATTGATTAAATTTACATGTTAAAAAAGAGCATTGAGGTTTCATCATTCAGTATTGACCCGAATTAAGTGTGCATTTTTTAAAGTCTTTTAAAATTTTAAATTGCTGATTTGAAGCACATGGATATTTGTGCTAAATTTGTATTCGAATTTTGGTTTTGAAGTTATTTTTCCTCTCTTGAATTAATTTAATTAACAAGTGCTATTCAATGTACAGTAATGCCTACACTATCTTCGAACACTTTATTTTATCTAATGAAAGTTGTTTTCCAAGATTCCTTGATATGTACATAAATATCGTTTCTCTTTTTCTTGGTTCAATTTGTTCTTGCTGGCCCTGATAACCAGCTCGTTCTATCGGAAGCCATTTTAAATTGACTTCAAACTTTGATTTGTCAAAACAACTCTCTGGTAATTGTTTACACCTGCACTGATAATTTACTGGTACACACGGCCTACTGAACATAGCCATCGGCATTGTTTAGTACGTAAATCCAAGCTTGGGTTGTAACTGGAAGTTTAAAGTGCAACCTAATTTAAGAACCAAATCCGGAAATCGGGAGATTTTCGGGTTGTTTGGCAAAAATCGGGTGAAAAGCATGACCCGCCATGTCATAAAAAATAATTTGGTTAAGGGTCGAAAAATTGGGTGTAACCCGACGAAATCGGGTGAATTGGCAACTATGTTTGACGCCCCTCCACCCCCCAAAAAAAACTGATTGAAAACTTCGCCTCTAAAGGGAAGCATTTTATCTATTGGAGGGGGGGGGTATACGTATACTGATGAGAGGAAATTTAATCAACTATCAGTCCTATAAATATGAATGATTGCTTTGGAATATTTGGTTACAATTACATGGCTTTTATCTTCATTTATACAAGTAAGTTAATGTCAGCTAAGAACTAAATTAGCATCTGTTACAGACAAAACAAGTAAATTTTAAGCTATTTAGGGTTATCTACATATATAAATTTATTTGTAAGAACCACTTTTTATAAAACAAATTTTCGCCCATGATATATTTGGTATAAATATAGCTCTAGTTGGTATAACATTGATAAAAACCTGTGAACGGATTAATTTTCTGTTTCAAAACGTAGAGAAAGTGCAAAGCGCACTGGTTTACATGCACACGATGGTGCTTGACCACAAGCGATCGAAGGAATGGTTAATGGTTGCATAATTGTAAACAAACACAAAACCTGGCTAGACGTTTTGGATTAAGGCTACATGTATCATGATCCAATTTAAAACAGATAAACCAACATAATCTCAAATATTCTATATTAATATTTGTCCATTAATTGTCACGCGATGGATTGCTTTAGATCTTCTCGGCCGCGTGTGATCGAGGGATGGGTTACGTAACGGTAAACACAATAGAATCTGGGGTTCAGGTAAATGTAAGAATCATGCAGTTAATGATTGTGAATTATATGACTCTTAAAAGTTTTTTTGCTTTTATATTGTTTGCTTTCATATTTAAACAAAGAAAAGATACTTGTACTTTTTTCTGTTTCTATCTCTTTCTCTCTTGGAAGGTTCTTTATTTTAAAACACAATAAAAGAGAAAGTTGTCACCGAATTATCTGAATAGGAATGAAAGAACACATTTAAAACCTAATTCAAAAAAAAAAAAATAGGATAGAGTGTTGAAAGATATATTATTTATGCAAGTTTATTTCAGTATTCTTCTACACTAGCCAAATGAAAACGGGTCCTTGTTTACGGGTCTAGTTTTTTTCCCTACCATACACAAGACTCGAACAAAATAATATTTTCATGAGACAAAGAAGGTACAAAGGAAAAACTTTTCATCGACAGCCATATCGAAATATTTTCTCATTTTTGAGTTTTAAAGCAAAAACTTTCAAGGGCCCTAGATCCCTAATTTAAGGGGCCAGCTCCTTTTTAGTGGTGTCAAATAAAAGGTAATTAAATTGTACACGACTGTTATTCTACATGTCTTAATAAAATATTTCTTATTTAAAAGATACAAAGGAAAACGTGTCAATTTTGCTCTTTCATGCATCCTAATTTTTGACCCCTATCTAGCAGCAGTTTGAACGCAGAAATCAAAAAACAAAAACCAATGTTCACAACTTCATTGCTTCTATTTCTTATATTCTGAAATCTTGGTTTTCAATACAAAAATGCAAGTCTCTACGTTATGGAAACATCAGAAATGAAAACGAGGCCATTCATGCACATGTACTGAAGATGTCTGTAAATATTCAGGTTTCTGTAACTTAATTTCTACGTTTTCAGTGAAATACTTTGAAATCTATAATGTAGCTCTTTATACATGTATTGCATACTATGAGTTGATACATATGGAAATTTTCAAAATGACATGCTTGCACATATTCTTAAATCTGATTAACTTACACTTATATTGCTACAAGTGTGTTGTTTTTTTCCCAAAAATAATTTTGTAAAATAAGTTGTAAAAGTCTTCAGTAAAGATGCTGTCTAATTTAATGAATCTTATAGGGAATGGAGCACCAAAAGTGAGTATGGGGAGCATTTTGGGAACATCTGTAATGGTCTCCATTACCATTTGAACTACTGGTAGTTTATTTATATCATTATTGATGCTTTAGCAGGCAACAAATGCATTCCTTGGAACACTTGACTTAGGTTGACTTTTATTTTCCTTTGTACAGATGAACATAAAAAGAAAGATAAATCAGGAGCACTTCACATAATAAGACTGCCCAGTGATCTAACTCACTTTAGGAAACTCAGTACTAATGATGACAGTCAGTCTGAGCAAAGCCCTACTCCTCTCTTCTCCCGTAAATTAAGCACAGACTATGAAGTTCCACATCTTGATGCTATTGAAACTCATTTGCCACAGAGAAACTCGCTTGTGGATGTGACAGAGGGTGAAATAATGGATTTAAAAACAGATCAAACTATACTGACACAACAGACTGATACACACGATAGTTTATTTGAATCTTGCACTAGTAAGAATATAACAGCCAAGTCAACTTTAGATCCATTTCATGAAATACTGACTTCTGATCCATTTAGTTTTGTTGAAGGATATATGGCTCAAGAGAAATCTGGAATACAAATGGCTCAATCTTCAAAAAAATGTAATAAAATTGAAATTGATGCTGAAAATGAACCCAGGGAAGCACCCAAATCTACAAGTGCAATAAATCCAAATGAAAGAAGAAGTGGTAGAAACTCTACAAGAAATAATCTGGCACAAACTCACAGTGACACAACACCCCAAAGGATTACAAGAAGTCAAAGGTCAAGGTCTCAAGAGAACAAAGTTACTCAAGATGATAATTTTGGATTATCTGGCAATTGTGGAATAGAAGCCAATGGAGAAGTGACTATGGTAACAAATGACTCATCTGAGGAAGGGACAAATCAAAGAACCAAGGAGGAAGGCTTTGAAATATCTTCTTCACCTGTGTATTAATGATTGAATGTGCTTGTGATGTAAAATTGTGAACAGTTCTAGGAAAATTTAGTTTTGTTTACCATAAACCATACTGGATTTGCTGTAAATTAAAAGAATGATTTTATAGTAACAAATTATATAATTTAAATGAAAGAATATGAAAGAATGGTGTGACCTTTTGGGCGAGCACAGTTGTATTTTTAACTCACCTGAGCCAAAGGCTCAATTGAGCCTTTCTGATGGAAATTTGTCTGTTGTCTGTCATTGTTGTTGTCGTAAACTTTTCACATTTTCATCTTCTTCTCAAGAACCAGTGGGCCAATTTCCAAGAGGAGATAATCATGAATTCGTGAAAAATTGAATATATCATTTAAAAATCTTCTCAAGAACCACTGTGCTTGAAAATATGAAACTTATATGAAGCATCCTCAGGTAGTGTAGATTCAAGTTTGTTCAAATCATGACCCCCGGGGGTAGGGCGGGGCCACAATAAGTACTACAAGGGGGAAATCAGGTGAAAAACAGCAAGGCAAAAGTTACTCAGGTGAGCATTGTGGCTCATGGGCCTCTTGTTCTCTATATAACTAAGCAAATTTACTCCTTATCTCTCCAATTTCCGATCTCTCGAAGTTCACTATCTCTTAAACCAAGACCTGGGTCACACACATTTCATTATTTTTTTTAATTCTCAATCTCTCCAAGTTTTGATTGCACATGTATACATGCCAATCAAGCATAAAATTAGTGCAGCTTAAACTTACCTGGATAACAGCGAATGCCTGAGGCTGACATGGACGTGTTAATTGGGTGTTTACATAGATGACCCTACACCTGTGAGTCGTCTGAGTGTTGATATAATTGATAAGTTAATTGAAAAATTATAAACAAATCACTTCTTATTTTGATTTGAGAGCAAGATGATAATTTTGAGAAAATAATTTAGAGACCTGTCAATAATTTTCCAAAGATTAGGCCATCTTTAAAAAATTGTTTGGTTACTTTCTCCCAACCGACTGACTAAAAACGTCTGACTCAAAACTTTTTAGCTCTTCTGAGCCAAAGGCTCAAAGAGCTAATGCTATGGCCATTTGTGCGGTGTGCGTAAACTTTTTAAAATATGGACCATAACTCATGAACCCCTTGGCCAATTATTGTCAAATTTGTCACAGGGTATCCTTGGCCCAAGGGCTCCCATTTATACTAAAATAAGGGTTGTGACCCTTTAACAAGGGGAGATAATTAGGAAAATAGAAACAAAAGTACTGGTTGCTAAATAATCTTCTTCTCAAGAACCACTGAAAAGTAGGTCACCATGACCTACTTTTTGAAATTTTATGGCTGTATTTAATATTTTTGGGTACTGGCTTAGAATCATCAAACTTTTTCAGCTGATGCATCTTGGGTCCTTGGAGTACAACAACTGAAAAGTAGGTCACTGTGACCTTTTTTTTTGAAAATTTATATGGCTATAATGAAATATTTTGGGTACTAATTGGCTTAGAATCACCAAACTTTGTCAGTTGATGCATCTTTGGTCCTCGGAGTAAGTTGACTGAAAAGTAGGTCACTGACCTACTTTTGAAATTTTTTTGCTTTATTTAAATATTTTTAGGTACTAATTGGCTTAGAATCACCAAACTTTGTCAATTGATGCATCTTGGGTCAGCAGAGTTAGTCTACTGAAAAGGAGGTCACTGTGATCTATTTTTAAAATTTTATGGCTTTATTTAAATATATTAAGTACTTGTTGCTTAGAATCATCAAACTTTGTCAGTTGATGCATCTTGGATACTCAGTATGTCATCTGAAAAAGGTCACGGTGACCTACTTTTGAAATTTTATGGTTATAATTTTTTAAAGATTAGAATCATCAAACTTAGTTGATGCATCTTGGGTCCTCAGAGAATGACAAGTGATAAGTAGGTCACCATGACCCACTCTCAGGTACTAATTGGCTTAGAATCATCTTGGGTTCTCAGTGTTTCATCTAAAATGTAGGTCATGATGACCTACCTTTGGAATTTCAAGGCTTTATCTAAATATACAGGATACTTAGAGGCTTCAAATAGAAGTGATAGGTTGTACAGTTTATCAGAAGAGCAATTCAAGGCCCTTGGGCCTCTTGTTAATATGCAGAAGCGTAAATTCTAGAGGAGTTCTGATCGAGTATTCGATATAGGTGCAAGCACCCTGCTGTTATTCACCTCCTTCAACAGTGATAACACCGAACAGATTTATAAAATAGTGACAATATTACCATGGGTTCTTAACAGATTTTTGAAAATGATGCACAAAACAGAAGGGTTGAAAATGTTAAACTTCGCTGTGATAATTTACGGTAAAGTTTTGAGCTCATTAGCGACTATTGTGCCTTAGCCACCCCTTTGTTGATCCCTGAATTCATTTAACTGCATATTTCAAAGTAAGCAGAATGTCTCTTTCAGCTGGTTTTGTTCCACGATTTGGTTCTCTCCCTTGTCTGCGATCGATTCAATATACATACATGTAGGTCACAATCTCTGTCAAAGTCATTTGTTTACATTTTACCCTCGCTAAAATTATTTGGAGCATAGGGATACTTCATATCTTATTCACACTCAGGAACTTGTATGTAGTATTTGTAAATCCATGAAAACACTACTTGTTGCTTGAAAATCATGTTAAAAATACATTTTCAATCTTGTTTTGTAGCCGAAATTCTGATTTCAATGCATGTATAAACAGAGGACTATATTACTTAGTGAACTGATAAAAATTAACGTTTAAATATTTCCAATCAATCTTGCAAGTGCTATTGTTTACATTTTAGCAACCTATCTCTGATTTCATCCTTGCTTTCTAAGGTATCACGTGTTAACATCAAGAGTAGTGAATTGTCCGGAAGAGTGAATATAAATAAGAAATTGCAAATGGTAGTGATCAGAGAGGGGCGCCATTGAAGCTGGTCAGCAGCTTATGAGGCTGTCTTACGTCACCTCGAAAAATAGCTTTATTATGTAATATTGCACACAGTTAACTTCCTTACTGGTCATTGAATTGATCAAACTCATCAAAATAAATAAAAACATTAGAAGTGTTTATTTTTATAGGTTGCTAAAAATTCCTTTGTTACAGTATTACAATGATAATCTAATGTTTGTTATAGCAATGACCTTTGCTCAGATATACGTCTCTGACTGCATAAGTGACAGAAAAGAAATACATGTATTTCAAAAACTTTACAAATTTAGTCATTAGCTCACCTGAGCTGAAAGCTCAATTGAGCTTTTCTGATCACATTTTGTCTGTAGTCTGTCTGTCTGTCCGTCAGTCTGTAAACTTTTCGCATTTTCGACTTCTCCAAAACCACTGGGCCAATTTCAACCAAACTTGCCACAAGCATCCTTGGGTGAAGGGGATTCAAGTTTGATCAAATGAAGGGCCACGCCCTCATTCAATGGGAGATAATTCAGAAATAGTGAAAATTTGGTGGCATATTTTAAAAATCTTCTCAAGAACCACTGGCCCAAAAAAGTTGAAACTTATAGGTAACCTTTGTTACATAGTGTAGATTCAAGTTTGTTCAAATCATGACCCCTGGAGTTAGGATGGGGCCACAATGGGGGGTCAAATTTTTACATAGAAAATATAGGAAAAAATCTTTAAAAGTCTTCTTCTCAAGAACAGCAAAACCTTGTTTAGTCATATTGACGTGTAAGCATCCTCAGGTAGTGTAGATTCAAATTTGTTTAAATCATGACCCGTGGGGCCACAATGGGGGAATAAAGTTTTACATTAGGAATATATAGGAAAAATCTTTAAAAATCTTCTTCTCAAGAACAGCAAAGCCATAATTTGTCATATTGATATGGAGGCATCCTCAGGTAGTTTAGGTTCAAGTTTTTTCAAAACATGACCCCCACGGGTAAGGTGGGGTCACAATGAGGGATCAGAGTTTTACATAGGAATATAAAAGGAAAAAACCTTTAAAAATCTTCTTCTCAAGAATAGCAAAACCTTGTTTAGTCATATTGATATGTAAGCTTCCTCAGGTAGTGTAGAATCAAATTTGTTCAAATCATGACCCCTGGGGCTAGGGTGGGGCCACAATGGGGGATCAAAGTTTTACATAGGAATATGTAGGGAAAAAATCTTTAAAAATCTTCTTCTCAATAACAGCAAAGCCCGTTTAGTCATATTGATAATTAAGCATCCTCATGTAGTATAGATTCAAGTTTGTTCAAATCGTGACCCCTGAGGATTAGGTTGGGGCCACAAGGGGGGATCAATGTTTTACATAGGAATTTATAGAAAAAAAAATCTTTTAAAATCGTCTGCTCAAGAACAGCAAAGCCATTTGTTATATTGATATGGAAGGATCCCCAGGTTTAAAATTCAAGTCCCCCCACCCCCCATGTAAACTTTTCGATACTGAATTGATTTGTGCTTTTCCCTAGCTATTGTGCTCAGGTAAGTGATGTGGCCCATGGGCCTCTTGTTTTTAAAGTGTTGATGTGTGTTGCAAAGTAGAGCTTATCAGTAAATTAATATGAAGAATTCTTACACCTATGTCAATTCAATAATTCTTCTAAATATTACAGTTCTTAATATAATATCGTCCATGAAATATGGCTTTAGAACCTCATAGGATTTTTAAGTACTTGTGGTTTTGGACAAACAACCAATATTTCTTTTGATTTACATAATATTATTGAGTGAACATTTCTAAACCTTCATTGCCACTAGGCAAATTTCAACCAAACTTGCCACAAAATATCCTTGGGTGGTGTTGATTCAAATTTGTTCAAATGAAGGGCCAAGCCTTTTTCCGAGGGGAGTTAAGAATTAGTGAAAAATTAATGGCATATTTTAAAAATCTTCTCAAGAACCACTGGGCCAAGAAAGATGAAACTTATATGGAAAATCCCCAGATAGTGTAGATTCAAATTTGTTCAAATTATGACCCTTGGGGCTAGGGTGGGGACACAATGGACGATATAAGTTTTACATAGGAATACATGTATAAGAGAAATCTTTAAAAATCTTCTTCTTCAGAACCGCTGGGCCAAGAAAGATGAAACTTGTGTGCAAACATCCTCAGGTAGTGTAGATTTGATTTTATATAAATCATGATCCCCGAGGGTAGGGTGGGGCCAAAATGGACGATCAAAGTTTTACATAGGAAAA